GAAGAATTTGCCACAGCTCTGACGTTATGGTGGCTAGTCCCGGCATCGCGCCAACTGAACTTTCTGCATAGCAATCAGTCCAAGGTCAGCGCAGTGGACATGGTAGGTCAGGAGTGGCAGGCCATGCGAACGATTCAGTTCTTGGCCGTTCCTGATGAGGAAGGTTGGGCGACAGTCCAACGGTGGTCAGTTCCTGAGCATGAGGGCATTGCGTCAGATGCGCAGTCCGGCGAGCCAGCACCAAGCGAGTCTAGCGAACAGCAGAGACTATCGACCATACCAGAGGAGACGACCTCTGAAGGATCAAGTTTCTCTGCGTGGAAGGAACTCAAGGACATGTTCGGTGACACCATCAGTCAAAGTGAGGCAGAGCATCTTCGCGAGGCATTCATTGCCTGCAGTTCTGAAGCCGCGCCTCCGCGCGTCGAGAAGTCCGAACTAACCGAGTTGAAGCAAGCAGTAATTCAACAGGATGCTATGCCGATGATGAGCGGTAGCTTGAACAGCGCAATGCCACCAACACTTGAGCACTTTCCTGAAGCTACGTTTGCAGCAGCAGTTGCCACTAGTGATGCCGATCCTGACAACTACACAGCTCTTGATTCCGATGAAACAGGAGCGTATGTAGCATTGGAAGTATATGGCGACTTCTGCAAATGCATTGAAGGGCTCACTAGGATGCCGTACGCCAATGAGCATGTCGAGTTGCGGTTCTATGAGGGCCACAGTCGAAAAGCGGTGATTGATCGATCGGACGACCTCCTAACTGAACCTGAGCTTCAAGCCAATGCCAAAGCTGTCACTCAAGCTATGATTGATGAGCTTAAGACATGGCAGGGCTACAAGTGCTTCAAGCGCAGAAGCAGAGCCAGCGCACCTTGTATCATCGATGCAAAGTGGGTGTACAAGTGGAAGTACGTCAAGGGAGAAAGAAAGATCCGTGCGCGGCTTTGTCTGCGAGGCTTCAAAGAGACTGGGGCCGACAGCCAAAGCAATTTCGCTGCGACAGCATCAAGGTTCAGCCAGCGACTCCTGTCCTCAGAATGCTCCCTTCGAGGGTGGGTCATTGCCTCTTCCGATGTCCCGAAGGCTTTTCTTCAAGGAGTCAGCTACAGTGAGCTAGCTGCCTCGACCCAAAAGGCTGAAAGGGATGTTAGTTTTGAGTTGACCGGAGAGGGTTTGGAATGTCTTAAGGCCTTACCAGAGTTCGCATCTTTTGATGCCGCGCGAGAGGTGCTTCACTGTTTGAAGCCGGGCACTGGTTGCAGGGACGCACCAAAGTGCTTCAGTTTGCAGCTGCGAAAGGTCACAGCAGAGTTTGGCCTGAAGTGCAGCAGTGTCGACTCTGAGCTTGAATTTCTTCATGAGCACGGACAGCTATTGTTGGCAATCATCAAACATGTCGATGACTTGAAAATGATCGGTGCCCGTAAGAAAATTGAAGAATTCATAGAGCACTTGTCATCCACCTTTGGGAAAATGAGCATTGAGTGGAAGGACTTCGTGTTTTGCGGAGTGCGACACAGGCAAGCCGAGGACGGCGCAGTGACCATGGATCAGATCAAATTCTTGTCTGCGTGCAAACCAATCACGGAACCGCGAGCCCTCACAGGCAAGCCAGATACTGTGCTTGCTGAAGCCGAGCGGCGACACTTCATGAGCCTTCTCATGACTGTAGCATACAGCTTGCTGACTAGACCGGATGCCGCGGTCTTTGTCACAGCCCTGCAGAGAGAGAGCCACAAAGCTCAAGTGATTCACGTGAAGCGGTTGAACATGCTTCTTAAATGGTTGCAAAGCACACCGCGCGGTATCACTTACCCTGCGATGGAGTATCCAGACATGCTCCTCCAGATCTCAGACTCGTCGTATCGTGCAAAGGCGGAAGATGGCCTTTCCGTCCGTGGACTCGTCAGTGTCAGAGTCCGTGCCGAGAGTATCCAAGAAGGTCTGAAGATAGTCCCGTGCCACTTTGTTGATTGGGTGAGTAAAGCACAACGTCACGTCACTAGATCAACATTTTCTTCAGAACTTTTTGCAGCTACAGATGCGGTAGACAGCGGCCTTCTCAACTCAGTCACGTTGCATGAGTTAGCGCATGGGCCTGTCACACCGGATGTCGCAAGAAGCTTGATCGAAGGCACAGTTCAGGGCATAGCTGCTTTGGGTTTGGTGATAGATGCTAAATCGGTATCTTCTGCCATAGTTGCCCCTAACGTTAAGGTCCCAGCTGAACCATCCTTGTTACTTCATGTCCTGTGGGTGCGCGCGCTGCTCAGAGCAGGCAGACTGAAGAACTTGTATTGGTCAGACACACGAAGCATGACAGCAGATGGACTCACCAAAGGATCTGTAGGTCGTGAGCTGCTTGTCGCAGCCATGCATGGCATTCTGCAGATAGATCAGCCGTATGAAGACCAGCGGATTGCTTGAGGCCCCGACAGCTGCGGAGCAGCAGTCGGCCGAAAAGCCGTCCGACTCGTTCAGCACTTGACAGGCATGATGTGGTGCCGCAGCGTGAACGTTCAGAAGCTCTTACTCTTCGTCTTGGAAAAGGTTCGATTGCGTGTGTTCTTTCCTGCCCCTTAGGGTAGTTCGTTAAATTTCGAGCAGGGTTTAGGGTTTAGGGTTTAGCATCTAGGACCCAGAGTAGGCCTAGTGGGGGTTAGGGTTCGCATAATAGGGTTCATATTAAGGAATCCCTACCCCAAGAATCTTAAGCCCCCCTTTTGGCCTCCCATCATCTAGGACCCAGAGTAGGCCCTTACCCTTTTTTGAGGCTTAGGTTCCCTTATAAACCCCTTTAAACCAAAAAGGGCACCCTTTCTATTCCTAGGTTACTCTTAGGTCTAGGGGGTGTAATATAACTTATGATAGGGTTCCTTTTAAGGGGTCCTTTACAGGGGTCTATGAGGGGATCTAGGGATCGGTAATAGGTTCCTATGGCATAGGGGCCTCAAGGATTACCAAGACTATTCTGGGGGCTCCTTATTGTAAATATAGTATAATGGGCCGGCAAAACCCTATTCTAATCATTAAGGCGCCTAGAGTAGGGTTTCGGTTTTAGTGGTAAGGTAAGGGCTTAGGGTTTGGAACTTAGGGCTCAGTTGTTTAGGGTTGAGGCTTTAGGGGTTTCGGGTTTATGGCTTGTCTCCTTTATATAGGTTCTAGAGGGGCCCATTAAAGATGATGTCGAGGGTTTCTGGATTCAGGTTTGAGGGCTGTACGGACGACGCGGTCTAGGGCTCAGTGGAATCCTTGGGCGTTTCGTTTCCGAAGGCTATTTGCAGGGGCTCAGTCGCGTGGGCTTGTGTTATCTGTACAACGCTGGCACTCTTTCATTGCCCAGGCCGTGTCAGCACATTTGTCAGACCCTAAACGTCAGCATGTAGCCAGGCAGTGGGTTATGACCGTAAGTTTACAGGGTACGGTTTAATAAAGGAACCTGATTACGTAACCTTGGGCCTTTATTAGGGTTCCTTATATGAATCCTAATATATTGGGGAGGGTTATAGGCCCAGGGTTTATTAATCAGGTTCCTACACTAATTATTATAGTACTCTTATGGATCCCTTATAGTGACCCTTATAGACCCCTTTAAAGGAACCCTTAGGCCCAGGGTTTCTTAATCAGGTTCCCACATTAGCATTCACAAAGTAGGTTCTCGGATACAGGCAGGCCGCCAGGTCTTCCGTTCTTCAGACAGGCCGTGCGGCTTGCAACATTGCAAGGCTTCTGGAGCTTGTTGCTCAAGGACCTACCTGTAGCCGGAAAGATCTACCTTTATTGGGGTTCCTTATTATGGTTTCTATATTCATTCCTTAAAAAGGTAGGGTTAGGACCATTAGAGGCCTTTCCAACATCAAGCTAGCTACATGAAGACGGAGATCCATGTCCACGTTGCAGCGTCCGGTTCTCTTCCAAGAAGAATTATCGGAAGTTCCTGATGACCCCGATCAACATCCAAATGCAAACACTGAAGACGTCTCCGTTTCAAGTCTTTTCAGGCGTTTATAGACCTTAACCCTCAACCAAACCCTAAATAGACCCCAAAGCGTTACCCAGCACACAGGCACTAGCGATAGTATAGGCGTCTCAACACTTACCTATACTGTTTTTTTTGGGGGGGGTTCCTTACTATGATTAGAGTATGATGGGCCCCAAAACCCTATTCCAATATTTAAGGCCCCCAAAAAGAATCCTACTACACATCCCTTAACAAGCCCTTTAAGGCACCCCTTCAAGGAACCCTTTCTAAATTACTAAGGCCCCCATGAGTTCTTTTAATTTAGGCTCCGACGTCCCTCCATTGCAAGGTGGGCTACGAGCCTCCGAGGACGTCCAGCTTTGTCGGAGATCCCAAGTGACCCATATGTGTGTGTGTATATATATATATATAGAGAGAGAGAGAGGTCAACACAGTCATGTAAGTACATGTGTGTGTGTATGTATGTATATATATATATATATATATATGTGTATGCGTGTAGATGCTTGTAGAGGTATACATATGCAACTACACATGAACAGATACTTCGAAATACATGTAGAAACATGCGTGCAAATACGGACATACGGGTTTATATAGTGTATACATATGCATATATGCATATATGTGTATAACGTCAAGATGTATGTGTATATATATATATATATCTACATACATGCACACATACACAGAATGCGTACATGTGTTTCAGGGTTTAGAAGTTTAGGGTTTGGGGTCTCGAAGCTTAGGGTTTTAGGAGTTTAGAGTCTAGGACCCAGGGTTGAGGGAACTTCTTTCCCTAAGCAACCCCAAACTTCTGTTTACCTAGAAAAGGCGCTCAAGAAAAGCAACACAGACCTCTCTTGGCGTTCTTCTGGTTGCAGGACTTTAACTTTTTGGGCTTCTATATGAACTATGATAGGGAGGCTAAAAGTTTAACCTTTAGGAGAGGTTCAGAAGTCAGCCAAGTTCTGTTTGGAGGAAGCGGAGGAGGCATCTGGACTTCGGCAAGATGCTTTGGCGTGACATGCGCCTTGGCTCCAGCCAGCCCTTGTAATGCTTTTTAGCAACAACAGTATGATAGTATTAGTTATCGTAATTATAGTAGCTAACGTAATGATAGAGATTACTAGCATTACTAGCATTCATAGTAGTAGCATTAAAGATTAATAGTCGCTCCACATGCCCGGGTAGTATGTTTAGGGGTCCCAGAAACTCTATTCTGCATGGTTTCTGGCACGTTAAACGCGTGAACTGATATGGTCTCTGGGACCTTACCACCTCAAACCTTGAACCTTCAGCGATGAAGCATGATATTATGCCCTAAGGGTCCACGTACTCCCGATTATAGGACTTCGGGCCATAAAAAGGGATTAATTACTTGGACCCTTAGGGATAAGGTATAGGGTAGCGTAGCGTGTCCCTAAGGACGTTCACGGACATGGCCATCCGTGCTGGTGCCTGGGAACAGCAATTTTGGGTAGAGCGTTCGGAACCAAAGAGCTGGGGTAACCTCTTGAGGGGCTCGGTTTTGAAGCTCCGGTCGTCTGCCACTCCCCGGTAGTGGGGTCGAGGGGTCAGGGCTTCCCTTGTCGGAAGACTTTAGCCGTAGGGCTTTGGGTTCGCCTTTAAGGGTCGCTTGAGGGTTTAGTCATCCTTGTTGTATATAACCTTAGCTCTCCCCATAGGCCCCAAAGTAGTTCCTTTTGGGGATTACCCTATAGGATTCTATATACGAACCCCAAAAAGGAACTACTTTGGGGCCTATGGGTAAACCCCAAACCCTACCCGCAAGTCCGAGGCGACAACGGCCCTGAGCTGGCCTGCCATCGGGCGCTGCTTGCCAAGAGCTCCGCAGCCTTAGAGAGCGCTTTGGACAAATTTCGGGGTTTGGCTTGAAGAGATGGGAAGTTTATTAGGATCAAGGGCGTCGGGTTTAAGATTCAAGATCTAGGATTGCGGGTTTATTGTTTAGAGCACGGTGTTTTTTCGTATCTTATAGCCGGTCTTTGTCCAGTCGTGCGAGCTACAACAAGTGTCAAGCTATTCGCCGCGTGTGTCATATTTAGCCAAGCAGCGGTTTGGGGTCTCTATGGCTTAGGCGAAGCAGTTGCTTGTGTTGGGAAGCCGGCGTCCTTTCATAGGACAGTCAAAAGAACAGCTACTAAGTATGGAGATCACAAGTAAAGTTTTGTTCTTCTAACTGTGTCGCGGCTGGCACAAAACATTCGAGTGTGTTTCGATTTAAGTGTATGCAGCAGTATGCATCTGTGTAACTCGTCACACGATTGCTTCGTAGATCGAGATATGCATGTATGTATATGTGTTTATATATGTATATGTGTGTGTGCATGTGTTTGTACCTTTGTTTATATTCACATATTTGTCTGTGTTTCTCTGTCTATACATTTGTTTATATACACGCACCTCCCCTACACGGCAGCCAAGCCTTGCTTTGTAAATGCTTTGTAAATGTCCTAACCCGAAGGGTCCATGTACCCAAATTGTATATCCTGGGCCCCAATGTACCAACATAGGGACTGCTTCAAGGCCAATGTATACACTATTTGGGTACCTGGACCCTTAGGGTAACCTCTACCCAAAAAACTTGCGGACTCCGCTAGGTGAACCAAGTCTTTCCTACGGTTGGTGATATAAATCCTGCATGACCCGTAATAAGGAATATACCATAATTCCCATAGTTTAGGGTCCTTAAGGTAATGCAGGATTTATATCTTCAACCGTTCCTGCGACGGTCGCTACACAGAAGCTGAAAGCCGCAAGCCCACGACCTCACCACTGCAAGGCCAGGTTTCCAAAGACTCCAATAAAGGGAACTCCAGAAAGTTGAAATATGGAAAAATGGCAGGATCCAATATAATTTACCTTAAAGGGAGTATGATAATGATATTCCAACTTTCTGGCTTCTGAAGTATCCCTGAACTAAGGAATATACCTTAACCCAGAGGGTCCATATACACTACCGTTATGGACTTAGGTCCTCAAAACCATAGTAGGGATGGTCTTTTGGGATCTGATTCCATAATAGTAGTGTATATGGACCCTCTGGGTAACATGATAATTAAGCCCTGCTATAAACCCTAAACCCCAAAACCGACAAGCTGAAGTCTTGCAGCCGCGAGCATGAAGAGCTCCGCTTGCATGAGGCATGCTGAGTACTGCCATGGTGGAGGGGCAGGCCGCGAAAAGGGTTTTGGTTTCTCTACCTTCTCATATGTTGTCGTTTTGTAAGATTTCAGTTTATATTATTGATGAGAAATTATTTTAGCTGCATAAACTCTGCCTTCAAACTCCATTATCGATTAAGGAATATGCCAAATTTTAGTAGGATCCCGAATATGTTCTGAGGATATTTGAGGTATATTCCTTAGTTAAGTGATAATGGAGTTGCTGGGTTGAGTGTTTAGGGTTATAGACAAAACCTAAATCAGAATCTTTGAACCCACAATCTCAAATTGCCCTGCAGCAAAATTCGAGTCTAGCGTTGTTGGCTGTGGCCAATACAAAAACCTCAGGCTCCAAGGACTCATATGGTAAGGCTTTTGGGCCCAAAGACCATACTATAGAAGGCTTTTGGGCTGTTTTGATCCCCAGGGTTTCTACACTACCTTAACCCGGAATAACCACCTTTGTAAGGACTTATATAAGGAAATCATAATAAGGAACCATAAACAGGTCGGTACAGTCGTACCGCGTGACTCACAGAGTCGGATCAGGTCTCCTCTGCCGAAACACTTCGCGATGAACTTCTTAGGAGCTTGTTGGAATTGTTCCCAGAGACTCCAATGGATCCCTAATATGATTTAAGGTATATTCCTTGATTAAGGTATATTGGAGTCCGTGGGTTCAAGCTCCTGTAGTTTGAACCCTTTTAAGAGTGGAGCTCTTTACAGAAACCCTGTTATAGACCCTTTCAGGGGACTCCTGTTCCAACAATTGAGGCCCCGGTGCTCTACTGTTCGATATGTTTCCTTAACATAGCTAGACAAAACATACAATACACACCGGGAGGCTTATTCTACCTAATATACGGGCATATATAGTTACCAAAGCCATTTTGGTGGTTCCTGATTGTAACTGGCCTCTCGTGCTTCCTAAACCTCTAAACCCTGAACCCCAAACCCCTGAACCCCTGAACCCTATGTAAACCCTAAACCCTTAACCCTCAACCTTATGTAAACCCTAAATCCCTGAACCCTAAACCTATGTAAACCCTAAACCCTAAACCCCTAAACACATTGACCCCTAAACCGTAAAGGCCGCTATGTTCGACCTTATGGCTCCAGTGTTGTTTTGGTTTCATAGCTCCAAGGCCAAAAGGAGGGACCCTTAATAAGGACCCCTAGGTATATACCCTTAATACAGCTGTGCTATACCCATTATATAGCCCCATTATAGGCTAGGGGTCCCCATTAAGGGTCCCTCCTTTTCCCCTTTGAATAGCAGCCTCCCTGGGCGACAGGGCGCTTTTTGCTTTTTGGGGTTTAGGGCTTGCTTGCACCTCGAATAATGGGCTTACATAGGTTTGTTTTACCTATTTTTGGGTGGTTTTGGTAGGGCTTAGAATTATAGAACTTAGAACTTATCACCCTAAAACCTCAAACTAGGTTAGGATCAGGACTTGAGGTTTTGGGGCTCAGGGCTCAGAGGGTGTATTTATGTTTCTCGGTCTGCAGATAAGGACTTGGGCACTGTCAAGCTTCAGTTTGGAGGTTTAGGGCTTAGGTTTCCACACATGGGCCCCAATGTACCTAGATAGGGAGTACTTTAAGGACAATGTATACACTAAATGAGTACATGGACCCTTGGGGGTTGCCAACAAAAACCTCAATACGAAGGTCCCAAGGCTTCTCAAGTCCGCTTCCGGTTCAGTTCACGAGTTTAGGGTTTAGGGTTTAGGCTTTCTCGTGTTAGTGACAACATGTCGATCACTGTGGAAGTTGGACTGCTTAGTGGCAGGACAGCTACAGTGGAAGTAGGCTTGGATGAAGCGGTGGAAACATTGAAACGTCGGTCACTGGCCGCGCTCGGAGTTGACAATGGAAGACTCCTGGACCCATCCGGAAGCATTCTGGACGATAGATCAACGATCAAGAAGGCCAGGGTGCAGAATGAAGCTTCTCTGACCTTATTGCACGCTTGCAAAGTTCAGGTATGTGGCAGCAGGCACGCTTTTGCAGCAATTATGGGTGACAGGTCCATAGTGACTTGGGGCAACCGCCGCTATGGTGGTGACAGCAGGGCGGTACGAAACCAGCTAGAGAATGTGACGTGCATCCAAGCAACTGGCCGTGCATTTGCTGCGCTTCTCGCGGATGGATCTGTGGTCACTTGGGGCGATGCTAGGTTGCTGTCAGGGAGCTTTCATGTACTTCAAACTAATTATGTACAAAAGTATCGAGCTATGAATCCCTGCTATGGTAACTTACACTAAGTTAAAGCGCTACAAACCCAGGATGCAGCCGATGGCGGCGACAGCCGTGATGTGCAGCAGCAGCTCAGGGCTGTACGTCAGATCGTTCCCACTCAAGGCGGCCTGGTTCCTAGTAGGTAATGGGGGGATGGATCCCTGTAGTAGTCCCTATATAGTTCCCCATGAGAGTCCCCCATAACCCATTCCCCTATTCCCTAGCAAGAACCAGACAGCAGGTGGCGCGTTTGCTGCGATACTGAGTGATGGATCGGTGGTGACCTGGGGCAATACTCGTTGTGGGAGTGACAGCAGTGCCGTGCGGGATCGGCTGAAGGCTGTGCAGCAGATCTGTGCCTCCGAATGTGCTTTTGCCGCAACTCTTCTCGACGGATCCGTAGTGACCTGGGGTGATGCTGCCTTCGGCGGTGACAGCAGTGTTGTGCAGGATCAGTTGACGTCTGTGGTGCAGATGGAAGCCACCTATGCGTCTTTCGCAGCAATCACTGAAGATGGGCGTGTAGTGACATGGGGCTTCCTCAGGGGCACTCCTGCACCAAACAACCTGAAGAGTGTGCAGCAGATAGTAGCTGCCGGTGACGCGTTTGCAGCGGTGCTCGCAGATGGATATGTGGCGACCTGGGGCAGTGCTGAGTATGGTGGCGACAGCAATGATGTGCAGGATCAGTTGATGAATCCGCGTCAAATTCACGCCTCATCTGGTGCTTTCGCGGCTATCCTCAGAGATGGATCCTTTGTCATAGTTGGGTATCATTTTAAATTTTTGTGGGTACTTAAACCCAATAAGGAATAAAAATGTACATTTTTAATCCTACTCCAACCATGAACTAGGATCTGTCCTAACCTGGGGGAATCGGCGCCATGGTGGTGACAGCAGAGCCGTACAGCCTCGACTGAAGACCGTGCGAGATATCCAAGCATCAGACCGTGCTTTCGCTGCGATTCGAGATGATGGATCTGTCGCCTGGGTTTGGAGTACCATACTTGAATACTGTTTTGGGGCACCTGTTCCTTACAGGAACCATTATGAAATAACAGTCTATACTTTTTTCTCCCTGGTTGCTTCAATGTCCAGGTTGTGACCTGGGGGGATGCTCGCCATGGTGGTGACAGCCGGGCGGTGCAGGATCAATTGAAGAACCTTATTGGCTGTAAACTCAACTTTTCAACTTTTGGGGTTCTTATAAGCTAGTCGATTCTGAAAGTTTCAACTTTTATTCCCTTGGGTTTTGGGCCAGTGAGGAACGTGGAGCAGATACACGCGTCAGGCCGCGCCTTTGCTGCCGTTCTTGCCGATGGGTCGATCGTGACCTGGGGCGACTCTGAATGTGGTGGTGACAGCTTTTCTGTGCATGACCAGCTCCAAAATGGCCCCGAAAACCGGCGCAACTTGCAGTAGCATTTTGTTAGGAGGGTTTAGGTTTTACAGGTTAATGTAAGATACCACAGCTTACTGTTGTGTAGGGTTCGCATGAAGGTTTATAGACCCTGCGAGAAGTAGGGTAATGTAGGAACCTGATCAAGAAACCTCGGGCCTTTATTAGCGTCCCTTACATGAATCCTACTGTTTATGGGTTATAGGCCCAGGATTTCTAATCAGGTTCCTGCACTATGCTAGTTTAAGGTCTATCCTAACAGAGCTTTCTGTCCTTCGAGACCCCGGAAGAAGGGTTGAAGCGCGATTGGTGGGTGGTTGAAGCCCTAAGGGTACAAGGTTTCCTTTAAGGGCTCCTATATGTGGATCTAAGGGGTTTAGGGAACCACCTGCGGATCCAAAAACCTACTGTTTTGGGGGTTATACATCCACTATCATTAAGGCGTCACAACGTACCATTTTATAAAAAAGGGAAGGTTTAGGGGAGCTTCGCAGCATCAACTGAGCCTCGTTGCCTGGATTCTATCCGATAGCTGTCGGGGCCGCCGTAGAACTAACCCCTCGTACCCAAACCTCATTACCCGACCCCGGAGCGGCACATCTTTGTCATAGTTGGGTAACATTTTACATTTTTACTGGTACTTGAACCCAATAAGGAATAAAAATGTACATTCTTGGTCTTAATCCTATCCCAACAATGAAATAGCCATATGAGACCCCCAACCCAGACTGGGCTTTGGAGGACCATACTTTAATACTTTGTTCTTAAAGGCACCATTATGAAATACAAGTTTATACTTTTTGCTCCCTGGTTACCCAAAAACCAGCAGAGGGTTCATATACACTACCATTATGGAATTAGGTCCCTAAAACCATAATAGGGATGGTCTTTCGGTACCTACTTCCATAATAGTAGTCTATATGGACCCTCTGGGCAATAGAGCCATTCACAACTGTTGTCAACCCCTCTGTCAGAATACCTTGCGCAAGTACACAACAACTCCTAAACCAGTATGTTCAGCCGATCTGAAAACGTGATGAACTTTGAACCGCCGTCACTTAGCCGTGAAATCTTCAAAGCCCCAAACCCCGAGCCCGTTCCAGGCTCCTGTAAGTACTTGGGGCGCGCAGAGGGACTTCAAACCAACATGGGTGGTTGTCAAAATCATGGTCCCATTTTGGTTCCGTATTATAATACGGCACCTAACATTCAGGGTACCCAGAAAGGGACCTTATTTTTGACAACTACCCACATAGCTTCAAGTATTCCTGACTAGATTAATTCGTCGTTCCGAAGCCTGACATCCCTCCTGCCATAAATATCTATCATCCCAAAGGAACCTTTATGCCACAGAACCAAACGACAGGGCTCTGAGATTCCCCAAACTCGTTATGACATAGAACCGAATGGCGCAGCTCTGCGACATCTCCAAACCGACTGTAAGAGCCTTCAACTTTAAACGCATTGCCTCTGCAAGACTCGCCACATTGTGATCCGAAATGCGAGCACCGAAACTCTGCGAACGCTTCTCGGCTGGATAGTGAAAGACCTTCTCTGCAGAGGCTTCTTGCTGTTTAGGGTTTACTCGGACCCAGAGTAAGCCCTTATTCCCTTTTTTAGGGTTCAGGTTCCCTCATAACCCCTTTTAAACATCCTTTTTAGTGCTAGGTGTTTCAGGTCTACTTTATGAGCCATGAGGACCCTAGGCTCAGGGTTTAGGGGCTGAGATCTTACTGATTTGTTTGGGTTCCTTCAACCTCGGTTCGGAATGCTTCACGCGTGCCTCACAAGTAAAGAATACATCCCGTGCAAAAAAGAGTCATCGCTTCCTTCAAGCGAGCTAGCCCATGAGACACATGGTATGGTTTCGTACAGATCCTTGTTTCCTGCCCTAGTACTTAGTCGAGTAGGTAACCTTTAACCTGTTTTGGGTAGTATAGCCCCTACATTACTATACAATCCCTATATAAGCAACAAGGTTAAGCTGTAGTTCCCTATGATACCCCACAAGTCGGCTGTTGTGTGGATCCTTGACTCGATGTTGCCAGTTGGCGCCAAAGTTCAGCCCTTACTATCAGCACTTGCCCGTTGATCCTTCAAAAGCCCCAAGATCGATATGTGGTAGCTTAAACAGCCCAATATCCCTAAACCCTAGCCGCCTAAGCCCTGAACCCTCAACTCTACAACCTAGGTCCCATTAGCTAAGATCCTCCCAAAACCCAACATCCTCAAACCCTTACCGCTCAACCCCTGAACCCTAAACTCTACAACCTAAGTCCCATGAAGATCCACACCCTAACCTCTAAACTCTAAACCCTAAACCCCTAGACCCTACACCTTAAACCCGAAGCCCTAAACCTGAGGTTCGTAGAGTACATCTACACAGGACCCTCAACTCGACAGCCTGTAAGTCCCATGAAGCTCCACTGAGGTTCTTAGAGTACATCTACTAATTCCTGTAACCGCTCCAACAAACTCTACAACCTAAGTCCCATGAAGATCCGTTGAGGTTCTTAGAGTACATCTAGTCCCTATATAATCCCAACATACCCGAAAAGGTTAGCAAGCAGAGTAGTCCCATTAAGATCCGTTGAGGTTCTTAGAGTACATCTACACCGGGGAGACGCCCGATGGCCTGCCGGTGCAGACTCTCGGCGAGCTGGTTTTCCTGGGTAACCAGCGCCTCGGCTGATTGGCATCTTACCTTTGGTTAGTAGGGAATGGAAGAGTAGTAGTAGTAGTAGTAGTAGTAGTAGTAGTAGTAGTAGTAGTAGTAGCAGTAGTAGTAGTAGTAGTAGTAGTAGTAGTAGTAGTTATAATTATACCCCCATTCCTCCATTCCCTACTAACCAACGGTAAGTGATTGGCATTCCGGTTTAGGTGTTAGGTTAAGGGTTTAGGGGTTTAGGTTTATAGGGTTCAGGGTTGAGGGCTGAGGGTTTAGGGTTGTAGGGTTTAGTTTTACAGGGTTTAGGGGTTTACGGTTTTAGAATTTTCGATTAGGTGCGTTTAGGGTTTAGGGTTTAGGCAAAGAGCCCAATATCACTTAATTAAGGAATAAACCTTAACATATCGTGGAATCCCTTTCATTTAGATACTTTTTAAGGTATATTCCATAATTGAAGTTACTTAGAGGATAGTGGTGTCTCTGGGCTCTACCAATCATAAGGAACCTCAGAGGTGGGGGGCGAAGGTTAGGGTTCACGGCTTAGGGTTTGGAAGGGGGAGGGAAACTAGGGATCTATGCTTTCAAATAGCTATAGGCCATAGGCCCTACAAGACCGGCATGGAGTATTAAGGCCATTACGGCCTTCCCCCATCCCCTTTACTTCCCTAAAATTCCTTAAGGAAAGCTCTAAGACTCTATGGGTTCTATCAGGGAGGTGAGTTAAGCATTGGCTTTAGGGTTTCACAAGGAAGAGTCTGTAGGTTGGTTATAGTTTTGTTGTTGTAAAGCGGTTTCCAAGAGTTCGTGAGGCTCTGGTCATTTCTGGACGGTTTTATCTGCTTTGACTTGTTTAGCCGTCGTTTTAGCGCTTGGGGTTTCGAAACAAAATCATTGACCAAAGGGCTTCATGCAACTCAACCTAATAACCCCTAAACAGTAAACCTTGCACCGTTACTCTCAAACCCTACCTTAGCCCTGCATATCCTACCTGGTTATGGTTCCTTATTATGATTTCCTTAAGTCGTTAGAAAGGTGGTTATTCCGGGTTAAGGTAGCGTAGAAACCCTACAAATCAAAATGACCCAAAAGCCTTATATAGTATGGTCTTTGGGCCCAAAAGCCTTAATATATGAGTCCTTAGATCCCCAGGGAAAACCTACTTGGACGATCATGGGACTTGGTAAGTAAGGTTATAAGTACCCTGATTGGGGTTATAAGTATAGTTACCCTAATAATAACCCCAGTTACTAAGTCCCATGATCCTTTAAGTAGTGTAACTCCAAGTGCCCTTTGTTCTCTTCCCCGGCTGAGCCGAGGTACGAGTTGACTGCTTTGGCCGAGGACGAGTACTCTCTGTTTCTTTGTATGGCTATGTAATGTTTAGGGTTTAGGTTTTAGGGGTTTAGGGTAATGGGCTTAGAGTCAGGTGTTATAAGGTACCCATAGGCTCCAATGTAGTTCCTTTTGGGGATAGGATCCAGAATATGAGCCACAAGAAGGAACTGCACTGGAGACTATAGGTACCTACCAGGTGTTATACGGAGCCCCTAAACCCTAAACCCTACCCTACTACAAATGTTTTACAACGGTTGGTAAGGCTAAGGTTCTATGAGGGTCTTCATAGGGTCAGGGTGTCGGGACTTATGGTTAACTAATATAGGGGCCTCCTAAATAATTACCTATACTGTCTTGTGGGTCCCTTTGTAGAATTCGAATGATCACGAGCGTTTACAAAGCTTCGAGTTCGAGTTTTGGGTTTTGGGGTCGAACCTTCAGCTTTGCGTAGAGCCATACATGAAGCCGTGAAGCCCATTACACTATACTGAGCAGTGGTGCAGCGAGCAGTGCAGCTACCAGTGCAGGCCCTACAAATTGAGAACCAAAACGGATCCATTTTATCAGGGGTTCGGGCCGGAGGGGTTTAGGGTTCGCCCAATTATTGTTCCTGGGCGTGTTTCTGGAAACATGAGTCGCGCCAAAGTGTCGCAGGGGTTTGTAAGGACCTCTTCACTCCCTGCCTGCAGTATCTGTCCCTAAGGGTCCATGTAATGTATATACTATATGAGGGTGTAGTAGTTCCCTTTTATCGAACAACGAAACCAGACCAATCAAACGAAGTACAATGAGCACTACGGGTAAACTCCTAAAACCTTAACCCCTAAACCCTAAACCCTAAACCCTAAACCTCAAACCCCTCCAAAACCATACAGTTCCTCTACCGGAGCCCTTGGAGGTACCCTGAAAGGAACGCTTCAAAGATCCCTTAGAAGAACCTTATACCTTAAGGACGAAATGAACCTTAAAAGGTTTTAGGGTTCATATACCATATAGGGGTTCATAGTATATGGGTATAGGGCCCTTACTTTTAAGGGTCATTTGGTCCTTCAGGTACGGATCCCTTAATTCAACTCTGAACCTCTAAACCCCTATCAACCCCAAACCCCTAGACTCTCTAAATTCTAAACCCTAAATACCCCTCCCCCCCCCTGAACCCTGAGCCCTACATCATAGAACCCTACTAGAGGTGCCTTATAGAGCCGTCGTCATTCCTTGCGATGTTTCAGCACTATCCGCTATCCACTGCACTGCAAGCATGGAGAGATCAGGACCTGCAGATCGCTTGTCCCGACCTCATCCCTGTTCTGGTTTAGGGTTTAGGGTTTGCTGTGAATGTGCGATTTTTGTCGCAGTTCCTGCCCGGCTCACAGCTCACTACACAAGCCATCGTGCTGTTTGATTGCCGGCGCTTGGATGATCGACTGTTCGCACAAGCTTCCTAAATCCCTTAATCGGGAATCTATCCTGCTTGCCGCGGGGCTGCGCCGCGACACCCCGGCCCAGGTGTATGTCCACGGCCTGGTGCAACCAGTTGCAGGCAGTTACCATGATCACGGGTATGACACTTACCCTCGCGCCTGCCAACTCCAGGACTTCTCTGGGCAGCATGGCGCAACGCACTGTGGTGTTGTCACCGACCTCGCCTCCGACGCCTTTGCTTGTGAACCCTAAATCAGGGACCCAAAAAGCACACAAGCATAAGCATTTTATGGGGATAACCTTACCTTATTGGGCTTCATTAGGGATATCCCTATCCTAATGTTTGCTTATGTGCGTTTTTGGGGGCCCTACGACTAAACCCCCCGAAACCCAAGGAAGCGCTCCAAGTAGCAGAGGACTGTGCCGAGCGCTTGTCTGCGATGCTCTGCCCGGAGAACGTGGTAGCCATCCTTCAGGTGGCTTTAAGGGTCTAGGGACCCTAAACCCTAAACCATAAACCGTGAGAGTCTAGGGTTTATTAGGGGTTTAGGGTTCGGGAGTTTAGGGTTTGGGGGTTTGGGGGTTTCTTAGGGGTTTAGGGTTTAGGGGCTTTGGGGGCTTTGGGGGCTTTGGGCTCAATTCAGGTTTAGGGCTTAGGGCTTCGGGCTCTTTTAAGGCATCCTTTATAACAATGGGTTTCGGGCTCCTGTATGGCTCATTTCTTTAATGCTTGGGGTTTGGGGTTCTTGGAAGGCTTAGGATCGATTCCTTATCGGGTTCAGAGATGGCTAAGGATTCAGGGTTCAGGGTTCCTTTAAGCGCTCAGGGTGTAGGTCTCTGGTCAGGCTCTAGGGATAATATATATATATATATATATATATATATATATATGTACATGTATGTATATATATATATATATACATATATATATATATATAGGGGCTTCAATAATTAGAATAGGGGTTCGTTGTAACGGTTCCTTAAAAGGGTTCTATAAGGGATCTATAGTAGGGTTTTATAATGTAGGGGCCTGAACAATCAGAATAAGGTTTCGGGGACCATTCTACGATAACTGTTATAATAAGGAGCTTCCAAAATACAGATTGGTAATTTAGGCCCCTATAGTAGGGGCTTACCATTTGGTTTAGGTACAGAGTCCCGGGTTGAAATCGTAGGGTTTCTTATCGGGGTTCGGAGTTGAGGCTTCCTTTTGGGGGATTCAGGGTTTGGGGTTCTTAGATTCTTTCTAGTGTTAAGAGTTCAGATTGAAACTGTTCCTTTTGGTGTTGAGGGTCGAGGGTTTTAGGGGGCCCACAACGGTACTGTATTGCTTGGAGGTCCATGGGTAGCTATAAGTGGGGTTGTAAGTGGGATATCTATGCTTATAACCCATAGTAGGGGACTTATAACCTTACTTATAACTACCCTTGAGCCCCAACTGGTAGTCCTAAACCCCTAAACCTTAAACTCTAAACCCCTAGAGGGTTCCTTTAAGAGTTCCTTGAAGGGTAAAGAACCCCGAGCTCCTTAATAAAGGAACTTCTAGACTTAGTAGCTGAGGCGGGTAACCTTTAAGCGTCTTGGGCCCAGCTACCCAGCCCTTGCCAGACCCCCGGGCGGATCCACAAAGTAGATCCCTTTTGGGGGGTTCCTATAAAGTACCCTTAGTAGTATAGGGCCCCAAAGTAGGGGGTCTGGGTTTGAAGGGTACCTCTAAGGGAACTCGGAGGGTCATGGGGCTTAGTAAGTAAGGCTCCTTATAGGGTTCCTTAAAGGGTTCCTTAAGGGATCCTTCAAGGGATCTATAGGGTTTCTATAAAGAGTTCTATAAGGAGGGTCATGGGACATAGTTAGTAAGTAAGGTTATAAGTACTCGAATTCGGGGGGTGGTATAAGTATAGTTATATGTATCATTACCCGAATAACAACCCGAGTTGCTAAGTCCCATGATCCTCCTTACAGAAGTCTTTATAGAAACCCTATAGATCCCTTTAAGGAACCCTTTAAGGTGCAGCCTGCACTGAAGAGCATGCAGACCCGAGGTGGAGGGTTGAGTTCAGTGTCCTTAAATGGGAGCTTCCGAAAATTGGTGGTACCTTAAAAGGGATCTATAAGGGTTCCTTAAAGGGATCTATAAGGGTTCTATGAAGGGTTTAGGGTTTAGAGTTTCCGAAAATTGTGGTACCTTATTTTGAGGTCCCCATAGTAAGGATCCTACTATTTGGGGTACTATATTAGGGTCCCCTATTTTCGGAAACTCCTAAATGGCTGCAAGCTTGACCTGGGTTTGGAGTACCATACTTGAATATTTTTTTGGGGTGCCTCTTCCTTAAAGGAACCCTTATGAGAAAAAAGTCTGTACTTTTTTCTCCCTGGTTACTTCAAAGTCCAGTGTAAGCTTGAAGCTGAAAAGGGTTTACAGGGGTCACCATCAAGCCACATGTTGTCAGCGGGTTCCATGCACCCTGAGCCCTAACCCGCTTGAACCCATGCCGGCCTTAAATTAATACCTCCAGATTGGGACAACTCAACAAGTTTGGCTTGTCTTGTGTGCTACAGTACTGATGTCGCATAAGACTATTCCTCCCAACCTCCGGATCCCAGAGGTCTTGGGCAGGCACGAAACCGTCTCCCCATCCATCAGCGCCTTGGCTCTCTTTTGGAGGATAGAGGGTTTCGCGTTCTCGGGTGTTGAGGCTTCCACATTAGGATCCCCAGTAGTAGCCTTCTTCCCTTTTTGTAGTCCTAGGTTCCTTATAAAGTTATACCCAATACCAAAAAGGGAGCCCTTTGTATTCCTTGGTAGGTTACTGGGCATCCTAGTAGAAATATGCCTTAAACCCTAAGCCCCAAACCCTAAACCCTAGAAACTAATGGCCCTTCTAGGGTTTGAGCCCTTTTTATTCCTAGGTTACTGGGGCATCCTAGCCTTTCAAACTTCTAAGGCGGAGTCTGAGCCTGAAAACCCTGCAACCCCAAGATGCTGCAAAGCCCTATGAGTTACGGTCTCCTTTGGAATGACTTTTTGTTTTTGCTCATGTAAAATGCAAGAGAATATTGAACATGTTATGTTTATTTCTTTTATGGTTCTAGGGGGTAACTTCTCCAGATAAAGAGAACCACATGTGCATGAATGGAGCGACAGAGCTCCGAACTTCAAATCTGTGCCAGTGCTTCGGATGTAGCGCTGTCAGAAGAATTTCTAGTAAACGTCGAACCCATGGCCTGGATAATTAGAATCGGGTGGATTGTTTACAAACTTAAAGGGAGGATTATTCCGAATGGTTCTGACCCCTGTCGTGGTGCCCGAAATGGCTGCAGATACGACAAAGCCTTATGCTTTCGTTGTCCAAAAGCTACCATGCCCTACATACAGGCAGCCTTTCAAACCTACCAGGGACCCTGCAAGGGCCCTTGAACAGAAGCCTTATGGCCCTCAATAGTGGTACGGTTGATGATATAAATCCTGCATTACCTTAAGGACCCTAATCTAAAGGGAATTCTGGTATATTCCTTATTATGGGTAATGCGGGATTCATATCATCAACCGTATTTGGGGTATGTTGGAGGGTCCTTTTTAAGCCTGTCGTGGTAACTGTTTTGCTGCTTGTTATGGTTACAGTGTCGCATTCTATTCATGGTTACAACGTTTAGTGGAGACTCGCTGAAACTCTCTTAGCAACTCCGGGAAATACATAGGTCGAGATCCCGTCACGACCCGTTCTGAACCTCTACGCCCACCCCAGAGTCCTAAAGCCCAAAAACTCCAAGCCCCAAAGCCAAGGGCGACCCCAGCCTTGAATCATCGTGAACATTTGGGAGTTTCCGAAGATAGGGGACCCAACTGTAGCACCCTAAATAGTAGAATCCTTGTTATGGGGACCCGCACAATAAGGTCCCCCAATTGTCGGAAACTCCCATTTACTCTTGGGAATTATCTATGGAGCCTCTTCCTGGAGGGCCAGCTTATGCATCAAGTAGAAGTCCGGTACTCCGAGGGTATAAACCGGTATACATGTGTTGTATATGTAATTTTACAACCATATACCAGAAATCTCTTTATGTATGCACATATATATAGTTATACATACACAAGCATAGTTACATACTTACGTACCTACTAACTCATCTTACATATGCACACATACAGAATTATATGTGTATCCGTTTTGCTCTCTCTTCCTCTATTATACATATGTATATATATATATATATATATGTATGAATGGAATGGAATGATGGATGGATGGAGGGAGGGATGGATGGATGAACGGATGAATTAATGAATGAAACAACTTCAACCAGATCCCTCATCTGAGGTACGATCTTGAACGCCACCTCTGCCAAGGCGGCAGCGCTCGGGGCTCGAGGATATATAGGGTTCAGTGTTCGAGGATTGCGGGCTTACAGGGGTTTCTAGGATTTAGGGATTTAGAGGGTTCCTTTAATGGCATCTATATGGGCTTCTTAGTAGGGAATACTTGGAGGATCATGGGACTTACTAAGTAAGGTTATAAGTACCCTAGTTGGGGTCATAAGTATAGTTGCCCTATAAGTCCCATGACCCTTTAAGTAGGGCCGAGTTGAAGGTTTGGGAGGTAATAATTAGGGCTGCGAGGGTTGAGTTGATGGCTCAAGATTTAGTCTTATTGGCTGTAAACTCAACTTTTCAACTTTTGGGGTTCTTATAAGCTAGTCGATTTTGAAAGTTTCAACTTTTATTCCCTTGGGTTTTGGGCCAGTGAGGTACTGATGGTTGCTGAGTCGAGGGTTTGGGGATTAGGGCTGAGGGTTGCTTGCTTAGGGAGTTGAGGTTTTACATAGGGTTTAGGCTTGAGGGAGGGTTTAGGGAAATTTCGGCCTTCCAAGGGTTGGTTCAACAAGGCGCCGCAAGAACCTCTAGTAGGTAGGTGTGAAGAAGCTTTTCCCTAAATACCCTAAACCCTAAAGAACAATCAAGCCTTCCCCAAAAATACCCTAAACCCCTAAGCCCTAAACTGTCTCTCAGGTATCGAGCTTGTGTTGGGATCGGGGGCCTCTGAGGATTAAGGTTTGGGGACATTACCTAGAGAGGCTCATACCTGACCCCTTTTTTAGGATACCTAGTTTTATGGTTAGGATCTGTTAGCTCAAAAGGTAGGCGCCCGTAAGAACAAGGTAGGGGCCTCTAGGTACAGTAAGGTTCGAGAGGGCCATGACTTTGTGAGGTTTTCGAAGGTTTTACAAGATTTAAGGTGGTCGAGCGGAGGACATCCATGGCTTTGTGAAGCTTTCTCAGGTTTCACAAGATTTAAGGTGGTCGAGCGGAGGACATCCATGGCTTTGTGAAGCTTTCTGAAGGTTTCACAAGATTTAAGGTGGTCGAGCGGCTTCCAGTGTTTCAATGTTAGGATTGAAGAAGTAGGATTTGTAAGTCTTAGGGTTGTCGGGTTTCGTGGATAGGTTTCAGCATTGAGCGTTCAGGGTTTGACTTTAGGGCTCTGGGAGTCAGGGTTCCCCCAGAGAGCCCAATACCCATTAATTAAGGAGTATGCCTTCAATTATTAGGGACTCAATATTATGATTTTAAGGTAAATTTTCCTTAATTAAGGGGTATTGGGCTCCCTGGCTCGAGGCTTTGGATTTGTCAGAGAGAGCAAAGTACCGTGTAATTGAGGAATATACCTATATCAAACACGAACCTAAGGCATATTCCTGTTTAGGGTTCAGGTTTTAGGGTTTAGGGTTTGTACTAGGGAGACCCCTTAAAGGTGACCCCTTGTGCTCTCAGAAGAAGAGCGAGAAAGCCAAAGAGTCTCTGAAAGGTCGTCTCGAGACTTGGTGCTGTGCGAGGAACTTGAAGCCTCACCTCGTCACCAAGCTCACGCCTCTCCAAGAGCAGTCGAGATGCCACTTGACGTGGCAATCTTTCGACACGGCGCCAACTCCCAGCTGAGGTCGGCCCCGACAGTCCCTTCTGGGAGGCTGCCAGAGCGTGCTGCCTGCTCTGACAAGGAGACTCTGGGGAAGCACGTCTCTAAGCCGAAGCAGTTCTTGAAACACAGAGCCTCTGTCGCGATCCTCTTCGCCGATCAGATTCCGTTCTGGATCAAGGCGGGTTCCGAGAGGTTACTCTTCGCGGACTGGGAGAGGGCTCCCACCTCTCAGGCGGCTCTCCGGCAGGACTTGCAAGCTGTGCACGAGAAGCAACTCTCCGGGAAGGAGAACGTGGACTCTGGTCTGGTGGTGCATCACCCAGACTCTTCTGCATTGGGCTTAGGGCCTTAGCTCATAGTATCAAAAACCAAAGGTATGTACGAATGGCTTGAGTACTTCGTATGTAGATTTTCAGCATCCCCTACAATATCTCCTATGGAAACCCCATAAACACCTTTACAAAACACGACTATTTGCGCTCGCGGACCCGTAGGGGAAGGCATGCCGTGGCTGACATAGAAACCGATTCTGTAAACCTTAAACCCCAACACGCCGGCGGGGCTCTGGGGTGCATTTAGGGTTTAGGCGGGTTTGGGGTTCCTTTATGGATTCTGGCTAGGGCTCCTTTACGGTACCTTTACGGATTTTTGTGAGTTGCTCTACCCATAGGCCCCAAAGTAGTTCCCTTTTTGGGATTACCTACTAGGATTCTAAATATGAACCCCAGAAAGGAACTACTTTAGGGCCTTAGGGTAAGGATAGGGTTTAACAACTTTGAGGGTGCGGCTCTAGGGTCGTAGAAGTGGATGGGTTTAGGGTTTAGGGCTTATAGGGTTTAGGGTTTAGGGATGGTTTCCTGGAGTGAACACTTTCTGACTCCCACTGCCTTCTGGCTTGCGGGTGGTGCCCTGTGGGGTTCAGCGGTTCTGAATTCACAGTACCCATATTTATGTTAGCATGTCGAATGCTCGCACATTCTCCTAAACCACACCAAAACCCCAGAACCTCTTTCTCTGATGCATGGGTTCATTGGACTAGAGTTTCGCATAGTATAGTCCTGCATCACCCATTATAAGGAATATACCATAGTTCCCATAGTTTAGAGTCCTTAGGGTCATGCAGGATTTTGTCAATCAACAGTGCTTCAACTCGCAAACCCGAGCAGCCAGCAACGACTGATGCCTCAAAAGGTGTGACGGAATCTTAGGGGTACTTAGAAATGATTTTTAGTTTTTGGCTATTATAATCCCCAAGAAACAGCTAAAATGATAATTCTTGCTAGGGTTCTAAGTTCAGTATAGGAATCTCTGTTGTGCCACTGCTGCTGCGGTGAGGGCTGAGGCATTTGAGTTTAGGGGTTGTAGGGCTGAGGGCAGGTACAGGGATGCTGCTACCACCTCCTACTCCTCATACTCCTGGCCGCACTATTACTACGTGACGACGACCACCACCGACACCGCCACCGCCACTGCCAACCCTAAACCCTAAACCCCGAAAGATCTTCGGGTCTTCCTTTAGGGCCCAAAAAAAGCACATAAGCAAAAATTAGGATAGGGATATCCCCATATAAACTCCTTATAATTATAATGAAGCCCAATAAGATAGGGATATCCCCATAAAATGCTTATGCTTATGTGCTTTTTGGGTCCCTAATCCTTTTCCTTGCAGCATCAACGACTCTCAGCTCCATGCGCAGGTGTCGAAAGATCCGGACCTGATGCGCGCAGTAGTTTCCCAGCTTTGCCGCATGCCAAACAATCTGTGATGCGTCCGATGTAAATCTTTCAATGCGGGTTTTCTTCTGATACCGGACGACTCTTGGGTCTAACTCCAGTCAAGGAAGCCCAAGGCCCACCTCCTTCAATTTTAATTGAACGCCTCAAAGCAGTCCTAAACGGACAAGCCCAGATACCTCTTTTTCATGGGACCCTGGATTAATGTAGAGGCCGTAATTATTACCTATATTACTATTTTGGGGGGTTCTTATCATGATTGTCGTATACTATATCCCAAAACCCCATGCTAATTACTCAGGCCGCTACATTATCACATTGCAGCCTCAGGTTTAGACCTCGGAATCTGGTCCAACTTCCCCTTACCCTATCTTAGTAGCTGAGTAGGTTAGAAGCTGGCCCTGAACCCCACATGTGCTTTTTTGAGCACTATGTTGAAGAGCACAGCTGGGCTTGTGCGCAGTCGGCCCTGTGTGCTTGACCTGATCTGCCTCGGCACCCGGAGATCCCAATACGCCCGAACTATACCTACTAGATGATAGTGGCCCGCGAAGGCAAACGGAGTATCTCTCAACAAAGCCAGATTGGGCTCTCCAGGTACGGTACCCCGAGAGCCCAGTACCCTTTAATTCAGGAATATACCTTAAATCATAATATTAAGGCCCCTATTCTAATTTAAGCAATATTCCTTAATTAAGGGATATTGGGCTCTCTGGGTAGGGGCCAGTAGGCACAGCAACCTGCCAGAAGAGTTCAGGAGGCAGGCCGGGTCGGAAAACTGGGTCCCTGCTTCAGGTGCACTGTGTGTCAGGGTCTCGGGTTTAGGAGGGGGGGTGTTACTTAGATAGCGAACGGGGGAACGTAAACTTTTTGGCCTTATATATAAGCCCTATCTTAGGAAGTTTGAACTTTTTTGGGCCCGGTTGTTGAGGAAGAGAGGTTAGGGTCCACCATTTCCGTTTGATGGAAGACCCCTGCTAGAAATTCAGAGTGCCACTGCAATGTAAGCGACTCTCAGTATGGTACACATCCCGCACGGACGCAGGGTTCCCTGTGAAGCAGGGTTTGTGTTTGGGCTTCGATAAGTGTGTAGAGTCTGGGGAATGTTCGGGAGCGTATGCTACTGCTACATGTACTGTTGCCAACCTCACGTTTTACCCGAAGTGAAGCTCACTGAATGTTCTGATTTTATTCTCATGAGTACAAGTAATTAGTAGTAGTAGTAGTAGTAGTAGTAGTAGTAGTAGTAGTAGTAGCAGCAGCAGCAGTAGTAGTAGTAGTAGTAGTAGTAGCAGTAGCAGTAGCAGTACTGTTGTTGTTCTTGTAAGCGTCGTCATTCTTGTTTGCTATTTTTTGCAATGATTATGATTTGTATGGTGACTTTCATAGGTTGCTTTTACTTTTATTGGTTGTATTTGTTTATCTATTGTGTGGCTATTGCGTTTCCTATTATTGTCCTTCATCTGCTTATCATTGCTATTCATATGCTCATTATTGCCATGACTATCATTCTTAGTCTATGTGCCGTTACTCATTATTGTTATTACTGTTGTTTTTTGTGTGCTTGTATTGGGGTTGTTATTGGTGTCTTTCCTCTTTTGGTCATACGTATATAGAAAAGGGTGTATATATATATATATATTCATAGAGAGAGACACAGATACATGTATAGATATGTATAGATGTAGTTACAGATGTAGAGAGATATGTCGTGGTATATATGTATATATATACACATTTATGTAGTTGAAGCTTTGGATGTCGGTAGTTCAGCTTAAGATATACAGCACTATCTCTTTCATGCAGGCATACGCATGGGGCTAAGGACCTCAAGGTGGGGGCCTGCTTAAGGGTTCTGTCAGGAGTTCCGATTCTATAGAGGGTGTCGGTAAGGTAAGGTTCTTTTCAGGTATTTAGTGGGCAAACCGGTTGGGCGTGTAGGCCTTTGGGATTAGGAGTTCGACGGCGAACATTTCGGAGTTTAGTGAGGTTTTCGGACAACCACCATAATCGAAGAACTTGCAACATGGAGGACTTGGCACTAAAACTTAGATATGAGTAAGCCCTACGCTCCTAGCCGCAAACCCGGGCTCTGAACAAGCCAAGGTGGGCCGCATCCGTGTGGATTCAGAAGGCCGCTTTCGTGCCCCTGACGGTCGCACGCAGGCAAGTTGCGAAACAGAAGCCCTGATAAATAAGAGCAGGCTTTCGGAGTAAAGTACAAGATCAGCGGTCTAGGTATAATAGTATCAAATTACATGCAGGAACCCCAAACGAACCACGTTGGTACCTCTTTTGTCGTGTATACTACTCCCGTCGGTCCCAGGGTCCAGATCTATTCAAGGTGTCCGTTGTTGGTTCTAGAGGTTCAAGCGCACAAGAAGAGTGCTTTTTGGGGTACTCACTATATTCAGAGTGAAGTATTTGGGACTCAGAACCCGACCGCTATTTGAGCACCTGGGCCCCCTAAGTATTGATTCTCCTTTTTGAGAATGATGGAATGGTTTAGGGTTTAGGGTGTAGATTCTCCTTTTTAAGAATGATGGAATGGTCCCTTGTTAGGGTTTAGGGTTTAGATTCTCCTTTTTGAGCTTCGGGCAGTGCTCGTGCTACTACAGTCTCATGTTTGCCGTCAGCCGGCTTAGGGGCAGCTCGTTGAGAGCACGGTCATTTCTAGTGTCCTTGTTTTCTTCGGAAGTGGGTTTAGGGTTTAGGGTTTAGTGACGTTTAGTGTCCTTGTTTTCTTCGGAAGTGAGGTTCTAGGTCATGGTCAAATGCATAGATCTAGCCACGCTCATCAGAAATCCCGTATGGACTCCGTATGGGACTTGTATACGGACTGTAACAAGACTCGTAAAAGAAGAAGATTAGAAAAAACCCTACACAGCACCCGCGTCCAAGCCGCTCGAAATGGTTTCCAACAAGATAAAAACTAAACCGATCATGATGGGTTCATGGTTCATATGGGTGGTTGTCAAAATTAGGGTCCCTTTTTGGGTCCCTAACATAATGCGGCACCTATTGTTTAGGGTACCCAGAAAGGGAACCTAATTTTGTCAACTACCTATATAAGTGAGTGGCGCCGAGGATCCGAGACCCCAAACGGAATGAGTGGTTCCTAAACACCACAGCATGAAACCGCACCTTAAAATACCAAACCCTACTTTTCTGTGGGTTCTTATTATAAACCCTAATATGAAATTTATAGGGACCCTACAAAAAAGTAGGTTTTGGTAGGTTAAGGCAGGCCTAGACAAGATCCCTCTTGAATCAATGCACCCTCAATTCCCGAACCCTCCGGACCTGGGTTCGGAAGTTCAGGGATTTGGGGTTAGAGGGTTTAGGGCAGTTTAGGTTTGAGGGGTGTAGGGTTTAGGGTGAGGGTTTAGGGTTTAGGGTTTAGGGCCGTTTAGGGTTTAGGTTTACGGTTTATGGTTAGGATTGTTTAGTCAGGCCTTCCCTCCTCGCCGCTCCCCGAGCCCTGAGCGGTTAATTCTTAAAGGTTTCGGGCGGGCCCTTGAACATGCAAGCCTTGCTGCTCATCAAGAAAGCGCTTGTAGAAGTAGTTGTCCGGCATGTCCAAGTGAGACTTGTTGGTACTGCTGATGGACAAAAATTCTCCATGACCCTAAGGATTCTAAACTATGGGAACTATGGTATATTCCTTATAGTGGGTAATGCAGGGTTTATACCCCTAAACCCTAAAACCCTATAGATCCCTTAAAGGAACCCCTTAAAGGTACCCTTATATAGATCACTTTAAAGGAAGTGCAGGTATATTCCACACAATGGGAAGTAGCCGAACTTAAGACTTTAGGAGCTCAAGCGGGTTACTCTTAGTACTACTGTTGATGAACGGTTTAGGGTTTTAGGGTTTAGGGTTTAGGGTTTAGGGTACTCTTAGTACTACTGTTGATGATATAAATCCTGCAATACTTTATAAGCAGGATAGCTATTATAGTCATAACCCATATTAGGGGACTTTATAGCCGTACTACTGTCGATGATATAAATCCTGCCATATCTTAAGGACCCTAAACTATGGGAATTATGGTATATTCCTTATTATGGGTCATGCAGGATGTATATCATCAACCGTAGTAACCGAACTTAAGACTTTAGGAGCTTCGGGGTGTTACGATTAGTACTATTCTTATTGGGAGTATTGGGCTGTTGGGCAGTTGGACTTGTTTACGGCAACTGGCCGAATGGTGCTCATGGGTTCATGACCTAGGATACCCAGAGAGCCCAACATCCCTGAATTAAGGAATATTGCTTAAATTATAGGGTCTTTAATATTATGATTTAAGGTATATTCCTTAATTAAGGGGTATTGGGTTCTTTAATATTATGATTTAAGGTATATTCCTTAATTAAGGGGTATTGGGCTCTCTGGGTATGGGTAGTTGTCTAACTTGGGGTCCCTGTGTAGCTCCCCAAAATTGCACGGCCCCCTGGACCCTACAAGGGACCCTGATTTAGAGAACTGCGCATATAGTATTAGATTTGGAGCCTCAGCCGGTGTGCAACATGTCGATCACTGTTGATGTCGGCCTGCTCAGCGGCAGAACAGCTACGCTGACCACAGGCCTGGACCAATCTAACCCTACGGGTCCATGTAGCCAGATAGTATACTACTTAGGCCACAAAGTGCCTATATATAGAGACTACTGCTATGCCAAAGTATACACTATTTGGGTACATGGACCCTTAGACCCTGAACCCTTATCGTACCCTTATTGAAGGAACCCTTAAAGTACCCTTTTTTAACAAAGGTACATGGACCCTTAGGGTAATCCCCAAGCCCAACAGTGCCAAGCCTCCAGTCTAGAGTTGGCCCCTGAAGCCCTAAACCCTTAACCCTAAACCCTACTTGGAGGGTCGGGGGACTTAGTAAGTAGGTAGTAAGTAGACTTTCAAGTACTCTAAGAGGGATCCTAATTGGGGTTATGGTACTTATAAGTCTCTAAAATAGCTAGTTACTATATAAGTCCTTCGACCCTCCAAGTAAACCCTGAAGCCCGAAACCCCC